CCAAGTTAGGAGCTCTAATTAAGTAAACAAAAAAATTATGGCCCTTCAAGTAAGCAAACATTTTCAAACTTGAGACCTTTAGTTTTATAAAACAATGTTTTTACCACCAGGTCAAGCTTCAACTTATCTTTGTAACCCAAGAAATACGTATATATACATATATAATAGAATAAACTTTAAAATTGGAAGCCCTTTAGAATTGGGGTCCTAAGCCCTTGTTTAGTTTTGCAAAGGGTAGAGCCGCATCATAATTTCATTCTTTTTTTATCTCATCTTCTAGTTTGTTATTTTCCATGCAATGTAAATATCATTAATATTGTTAATCCTTTACATCAAATTTCTATAAATATCAAAATATGTCAATATAATAATATAAACACTAATTCTTCGTTAATAACAAATAGATTTCATGTAAAAAATTGTTGTTGACCTTATATATCCCACAAGAAAAGAAAAACTAATATCAACAAAATCCCACAAGAAAAGAAAAACTAATATCAACAAAATATTTAATTTTCACCTTATTTTTTATATTTTTTTATTTTTATTTCTGTTTAATATACATAATAATAGTGGTCAAAATTCAATTGATTTTAAAGTTGAGCATAATTGATATATCTATCCAAATTCAATAAAAAAAATTTGTTTGATTAAAATCCAATAATTACATATATTGTTTTATTTTATTTATATAGACATCAATCTAAATCTAATCCACGTCATTGATTAAATTTTAGGCTCGGGTTCGGATTAGGGTTATTAACTCAATCTCAAGTCATCATATTAACGAGTCGACCTTGAGGACTTTGACTCTCGTTTACATCTCTACGTCTAGTGTTCCTATTACCGAGTTTTTGAATGACTTATTAATTAGTTTTGTTCTTCGAAAGAGATTTTCAGAAAAAATTAGTTTAGAGGAAATTGTTCAATACTTTAAAAACACAAAAGGTCGATGACTTCCACTTTGATAAGCGAATATTGCATCTTAATTATTTTGTTCAAATTTTGATGTCATATCGTAGTTTACACGCTTGTGTTTTTAAGTTTTGCTACCGGCCCCCTAAGTTTAATGTTCCGCCCCTGTATGCGATTAAAAGTCAATTGTGTGATATTCCTTATGTGTTCACAGGATTCACCTGGCTCTGCATTTTGTTAAATATAAAAATCCATGTACTTTTTTCACACGAAACAAATAATATTAAGAAACAGCCCTGACTAATAACAAGTTGCTAGATGAGGCAGCTTTAATTAGGATTCATTGTATATCAGTATACATATATAAGTTTTGAGACTGGTCACTAACTAAAAATATAAACAATCAAGTGAGTGATGATGGTGAGTATCTACAAACACGTGCTTCTTTGTAAACAAGCCCAGATCGACAAAAATAGCCATTTGTCGGGCTACAATGTCTATGCTCCGAGCACACACATTCACCTTCCAAACCACACCCATCAAAGTCCTCCCCTTTCTTTCCAAACAACAACTTATCCGACCATTCACTCGAGAACATATTCTCCGGATCCATCTTCGTTTTAGCTGCCACGAACCCATTAAACCCTTCGTACTTCTTCTCCACCTTCGAAAATGCAACTTTCCTGTTCTTAGCCCAATGTGGCCTCGCACCATACTTCAAAAACGCCATTTGCTCCATTTCTTCCATCACATCTTGGTTCAGCCTCGGCGTCGTTTCTGAGTCAGCTCGATAGTAGTTGAAGTCGACCACCACTGAATCAGTAGATTGACCTAAATAAGCAGTTGATGCCTTGATGAAACGTATCAGAAGTCCGTTGTATATGTCTACGCCACAAAAGTTGTCGGGATTTAGGTCTCGCAACTTCTTAACATCCAGAATGAAGTCCCTGAACTTTCGCGCAGGGAAGATGGCGGTGGTTTCGTAGAAGAATAATCCGTCGATGCGTGGGTCCCATGCACAAGTGTTTGCGATATCTTTAGATGATGAGTACAAGCATGAACCTGAAGTTTGCATCTTGCCTTGACGGCCGATGACTGGATATCCGGTGAAGATTAGGTTGTTTTTTAACCCGTTTGCTATTAGTTTCTTGTAGGTTATGAAAGAACTCGCCATTGCACATTTGCCCTTTACGTTTTTCGCCTTTTCGAGCTTTCTCTCTGTTAATAGATCAACATATAATATTTATTAAATGGGGGTTTTGTGATTGAATTATACCCGAAAAAAAATTCAGATTCTTGGAAGTGTCATACCAGTGGCTCTTGTAGATTTAGAGACGACAATGAGATTAGACTGGAAACCAAGAAAGTCGTTGTTGCCATCGCCCTTCGTGGTCATCGGAACCCGATCATCGTATCTGTAAACCGCCGTGTGTTTGGAAGGATACCATGTGATGTCTCCAAACTCGTGAGCCTTTGCATGGCTCATGAATGCGTCTTCCAAACCACCATCGTCGGTGAAATTGAAGGTGATGCTTCTCTTGAACCCTTTCACCAAACTTAGTGTCACCTTGGAGATGATACCCAAGGTGCCTAAAGAAACTTTGGCAGCATTGAAGAGTTGATTTTTGGCATCCAAATGAAGAATCTTGGAAAACCCTTCATTTTCTTTAGCTGGGACCACCATATCGATTTTCATCACATGATCGTGAACTGCTCCGCCTTTGCCCCACCATGAGCTGCCGTGAGCACCAGTACTTATCACCCCACCCACACTAACACCTTCCCAGTAAGGCGCAGCTACCAGGCTCAAACCTGCATCTTCCACTTTATTTATCAAATCTCGGAGACTAACTCCGGCGTCGGCAGTCACTGTGAGTGCAGAAACATCAATATCGATGCCGGAATTGTAGTTTTGGGTGCTGATGAGAACTGAGGAGTTTCCGGCGGCAGGACAGGCGAATTTAGGTATGGTGTGGGAGAATTTGGATACAACTTTGAGTTTAAGTTTGTTTTTGGCTGCATTGGCTACGATTGAGAGAAGTTGTTGTTGGGTGGTTGGGTAGATGACGTTGGAGGCACGACAGTCTTTTCTGTCACCCCATACACCGTAGGAGTTCTGGAGGGTGCAGCCGCTGGTTCCCGCGGTGCATTGGATTGGTGGCGGTGGTGGGTAGGCGGTGATGGTTGAAACCCACAAAATTAGAAATAAGAGCACCACGATTGTAGTGTTAGCCATACTTACGTAAGTTGAAAAACCGAAGGGTATTTGATGATTTGAATTTGAAGATGCGTAGGTTCAACTTTATATATCACTGGTGCTTGAAGGAAAGATATAGAGAAGTAATTGCTACTCTTTCCTAATTGAATGCTATTTCATATCACTGAAATAAAATAATAAAAAAATATTCATCTCTTTTTCTCTTTTAAAGCATTATAATCATATCAACTTTTTATCTTCGGATTATGTCTCAAGATTTAGAGACTAGAGTTTATTACTTTATATATACCTTGTGTAGTATAGCTGTACATTTAAATTTACACCAATGGGCTTCTGGCCCAGCGTTATTCGGTGTTGCCCTTTCTTATTGAGGTTGAGGGTTCAAGTCTCGTCGTAGATATAGATGAATTTAAGGTGTTGTTTAGGAGTATGTTAGATTTGTCGTTTCAAAAAAAAAAAAAATTATTTGTACAATATACCATATTTTATGTGTAACTATTTAATGGGTTGAGATTGGTATATACTTTCGTCTCATTATATAAATTGGTAAAAACAAAATATTATTATATAAATTAATGAAGATGTAAAAAACGATTGCATAAATTGATAAGATAAAGTCACTCGTTATCAGATTAGTTATTTATGAAACGTTACGCTTATGTTTTTCTTTAATCATTAGTTATATCTTTGATATGTATTTACTATATTACTCTGATACAATTATATTTAATAGATACGATGTTATGTCTAAGTATACATTGTAATTTCCGAATTTATGATTATCTCTTTATTGTTTGCAAATTGTTTTATAATTTATAAATTTTGATTATATTCGTTTAATAATATGCTTTATTTTGTCTTTTAGTTAAGTTGGTTATGCATAGAATATTAATTTTCCTTCTGATACCCATTTGTAAATTTAGCTTTTGGAGCAATTGGGACTTACATTTTCTAAGATAAATTATATTTAAAAATCTATCTTTTAGTGATTGGTAAATCGAACTCTTTTATAATATGGAGTTTGTTCTTTAATTGTTACTTTTAGGATTAATTCATTTATAAACAAGAAATTCACCCTATTACTATAATGCTTGGAAACACTACAAAAAAAATGCTAATTAGTGACCAAAATGAAATGGTCACTAACAATAGAAAGGATCGTCACTAAACGATTTAGTGACCAGAATCCCAGTCGTCACTTTTCGTCACTATAGGTCCGTCACAAAACCGATTTAGTGACCAAAACATATAAGTAGTCACTAAATAGTGACTAGAATATCTTTGTCACTAAATCAATGACGACCAGTTTCGTCACTAAATGTTGTCACTAATCAACAGAAGTCGTCACTATTTTGTCCCACTAGTGACCATACATAGTCGTCACTGGTTTATCCAATTAGTGACCATAAAAATTCGTCACTGTTATTCAATTAGTGACTATACAAAGTCGTCACTGGTTTATCCAATTAGTGACCATAAAAATTCGTCACTGTTATTCAATTAGTGACTATACAAAGTCATCACTGGTTTATCCAATTAATGACCATAAAAAGTCCGTCATTGATTTTTGACCCACTTAAGTAACTAGTCAATGGTAAAATATACTATTATTCATTGATAAACAAAAATTATTCTCAAATTTAAACAAACCCACAATAGCTAAAAACGAAAAGCTTGGGGAAAATTATTTTCCATTTGGTACAGTCTTAAATTATCATGCAGACATACAACTTTTCAGCAAATTACACAAAAAAACCAAATAAAGAAAAGATTCAACTCTTCCTAGTTTTTTTTACAATAAATGCCTTTACATTCTCTTGATCCTTTCAGCAACGTAGGTGAAATGGTATTGCAATACATTAATCTATTACTCTTTCAAATGATGCCCAAACAAAGATGTTATCTTAATCTGCAATACATGTATGTGATTTCAGTTAACACAATTTACTTTTTTTACTTGACAAAAATCCATCAATCAAAGAAACTTACAAACTTACAGCAGTCAAAGCTTGGTTAGAGCTCTTACTCCAGAAAAGCCACTATCTGTTACTCCATACTGAATTTCATATTCATAATTAGAACTAACCCCATTACATACTTCATTCCTTATCAAGAAAGTTTTGACTTAATATAGAACTTAAAAGACAAATAAAACTCACAATTGATTAATCAATATAAAAAAGCTAAAAATTTAGTGTTTTTGATGCTGATACCTGTAATGCGAACCATTGGTTCTCTTCTAGAGATAATTGTTGCATGTGTCCATCACAATTGCATGTTTTTTGGCACCAATATTTGACTGAAATTTACAAAAAGGGCTAAATCAAGACCATTAATAATAACAAAAAAAATCAATCAACAATGATATTTATAAAAAATGGAATGTTGGAACCATACTACAAGATAAACAATCTTACTTGAACACGTTTAAATTCTCTTGCAACAGGGATCAGTATATGGTCCCATGCTGCAATATAATCTGCATCACCACATTTTCCATTCTCCCATGGAACATTTATATTGTATCCTTCACCTTCTCCATCACCCTTCATGTCATATGATCCATCATCACCACAGGGATAAAAAGTCCCATACTCATCCCTCGCATTATTTATAGTTTTAAACCAAAAAAGTTTTAATAAGAGATTATTATTAATATTGGAAACTAATCATTTACCTGTGTACAGAGAAGAACAACACTTGGGAGTCCTTATAGAAGGTCTTTTGAGTACCATTTCCATGATAAACATCCCAATCAACAATTAGTATCTTGTTAATACCTAATTCCTGCAATATACATAAGAAGAATTAATTTAGATAATTCATAAGATAGTAGTCAATGGTTGATTTGACAAACTGTATGTATCATTGCATTGAATATTGATCACTCTTACTATGGTGTCCAGGAGGTCTAACAATGGCAAATGCAGAGTTTAGTTCCCCTTTTGCAACTTTTGCAGCAACCTGTTGAACAAATCGTCAATTAATATGACACTTGATTGCAGAAATGTAAATGTATAAGAGCTTAAATCAGATATGAGCTTCTTACATCACATTCACATATGACCCATGTTTTGAAAACCGGACCGGTTCGACCGGGAACCGGTCCCTGATACGGTTCTTAAAGGCCAAAAAACCGGTGTTCATGTGAACCGGTAAAAACCATTACATAATAACAAGTTTCTTTCAGGGTCAAATCATTCACATATTTTTCAGGTGCCTCATATTTCCCTTCAAGGTCAAATCATTCCCATATTTTTCAGGTGAAAAAATAAACATTGTAATTTGTTGTTCAACAGTTTTACCTCAACAAGTACTCTTCCTTTCTTCTTCTTAGCATCTCTCTCCTGTTTCTTCAAAGCATATTTGGAATCTTTCCTTCCTCTCTTTCTATCTGCTGCCACCTCAGCATCATCATCTTCATCTTCATCATCCACTAATCCATTTATAGTTTAACTAATAATTAATAATTAATAAAATAAGTCAAGAAAATTACAAAATCGCCCTCGACTTACCATCGGAACCGGTTGGAAGACCATTGTAATCCTCCATATCATCTTCCTCTTCATACTCGCCTTCAACAAATTCCGTTTCCACCTGTTTTCCAGAAAATATTTACATTTATACAAAATAATTAAAGAAAAAAACAAAAGGGTAGTTTGGGAAAAATAAATTCTACTAACAAACCTTGTACTCTTCATTAACATCCTTTTCTGGTCCCTCAAATTGTTCGATAAACTTATTAAATGCTTCAGCATGAACATTAACTATCTCACTACCATAAGTTCCATTTTTTAAACGCTCCAACAATTCCTTTTCGATATTCTGGACAATAGAAATATTAATTATTAAAATTATGAAAACATTTTATTAAAAAAAAATAAAGCTGAAATATTTTATAAGTTTTTAAAAATAAAAAATTAAACCTTGTCCAATACTGCTGCCTTTTCAGCCTTTTCCTCTCTTCTAGCTTCTCACTTCTTTTCTTTTCTTGGACTTGTCATTATCTTTTCCCTATGAAAGTTTATATATTTTGGTTAATTATAATTATGGAAATAGAACAAATAAGATATTTTTTTTAAAAAGAAAAAAAAAAAACCTTATTTTAAGGGCAAGCTTCCTCATGCGTATACGCATTTGTGTCATTTTAGTCGACCGTTGTTTTGCCTTGTGTACAAGAAACTTTGGCCAATACATCTGTTGATTTTAACTCGATTTTAATTTTTAATTTCATTTAAAGAAACTCAAAAGGATATAAATGAAGTTTTGTACCAGATTTTTGTCGATGATTTCAAGGGCTTTTTCGTAATTGCGAGGCAGTTTCACTCTTTCCCACAACTTGTTTGGCATATGAGCTCTCTCTATGGTTTTCATATACAAGTAAAAGACTCCTGCAAAATAGAAAGTTATGCATAAAGTATATAACCAGATAATTTTACTATAAAAATGACAATTTTACCCCTAGGGTTTAGGGTTTAGAAAAATACCATCATGATCACGGATGGTTGCATAACGACTATTGGCTAGTGGACATGAGCTTCAGTTACAAATTCCAGTTAAATTGTACTCATTTCGGCAAAAAATTCCAGCAGTAATTCTGATAAAATAAATAATAAAAATAAAATAAAAAGTGGGATGAAACAGTTTTAACATTTAGGTAACTTTTCAGCACATTAATGACAAAATTGCCCAAGACTTACTTGGCCATATAACTGCAGTGTTTATGCCTGAGAACTTGCCATATAACCTCATCATTCTGCATTTTGACTTTGATCAGTATAAAAATATAAAAACAACAGACATTACAAAATAACAAGTTTGAGGAAGGAAATAAGAATTAACCAGTGAAAGTGAAACTAGGAAGGTAAATGTTTTTACTTTGATCAGTTACTTTCTGACTTCCACGAACAACTTGCACAACATCCTTTAATGACTTCTCACTTAACTGCAAGTTGCTGAACAATTGCTTTCCAAACCTCTTATCCAAAGGGAATGCCAAAACAAGACGTTCAACAGAAACAAAGTCATCTCCCATTTCTTTTTTATAATTTCTTGCATTTTCCTTCAAGATCATCAGTTGTTAGCTGATTAAGGGCTTCTGCTTGAGACTCCATGGTCATAACTAACAGGACATCAAAAAAAAAGTTAGAAAGGCATTCATGTCTTTTGTTTTGTTTTAAGATAGAACATAGAAAGAAAGAGAACTTTTTTCATCCATCTTCTCAAATGCTGAAAGGGCACTGTTTGTATTCACATTCCCCAACATTTCACTTATTTTTGTTGTAGTTCTATACAAAAAAAAATACATTAACTCCAACAAGTTATAGCAAAATCTCAATGTTATTAAAAAAATAGGGAATGAAAACAAACTAACTTTGCAGACTGTTCACGTGCTTTGAGAGTATCTTTCTTTGACACATGATTTGTTTAAATAACAACAGATGAACAGATACACCTCAGTTTTATCTGTTGTTAAATATAAATAATTTTTCATTTTGGATGTTCAAGTAAACACATGATTTGTTTAAATAACCATATAAAATGCTAAACTTTGTGCGAGTAGAGAGAGAAAGAACCTGAATAAACTTATGCTAGCAAATTAAAGAGTTTAGGGTAGATTGACCGACCTCTTGAAACACTTGAGCCTAATTTCCAGTAAAGTGAATCCATCCAGCAATAATTGAAATCAGACACACATATTTAGGCAGTTAGACTTGAACTCAAACACATTTAGAATAGTATTATACATACATAGATTTATTCAGTGATAATTGCTTGGAAATCAATATAACACAAAGTAGTATTGTATTACAATAAAATCAGAAACGGAAACAGAGCTTAGCTGAAATCGCGGTCGTCGGCTTGACGGTGGAGGCCGACATCTTCCTCACAATGGATTCAGGCAGCGATCGACTTGCCGATGGTGGAGGGCACCAAAACTTATCGATGGACAACGATTGCGAGAGTAAGATCGCCAATAGTGGTTCTTCGTGACCGACTGAGAGAAATACTGAAAATGATGAAGCCAGTTGCAGTTCGTTTTACGATGTCGACTTGATTTGGGCCCGACCGAGAGGGAAATTTGCGATGAAGTTGGAAGATTGGTTCAAATCGACGATCAAATGCCTACACGTAACCCTAGTAAAAGAATCAAACGCTAGCGTAGATTCTGGATTTAGGGGAAACGCAAAGTTAACTTTCGAAAAGTTATATAAAACACCCTCATCTTTGAATTTATTAATAAAAAAGACCCAACGGTTAAAAATTGCTACATTTCTAATAAAATAATATTCAACTAAATTTAACTCTCAAAACGTAATTATTTTAAATAAAATATAATATTTTTTGTTTAATTTTCTAGTGACCACAATATTTGGTCATTAATGTTACAACGCAGTGACCATTAATTTTGGTCATTAAATTTGTAAACGAGTGACCATTATTTTTAGTCACTAATATTTGTTATGATATTAAAAAAAATATTTTAATTCAATTTTATAATTTAGTGACCGGCGAGTGACGACTATAATAGTACTCGTCACTAAATTTGTAGCATTACCCAAAATTCATTGACGACTTAATATATGGTCGCTGAACTGTGCATTTAGTGACCAGATTTTACGTCGTAACTAAAAAAATGGTCACTAATAAGCAGTTTTCTTGTAGTGAAATGGATCTCGGGAAATATGCTAAAAAGATAACACATGAAGGGATTTCCGATTGAAGATCAAACGCATATCAAACTAGTGTAAGATCAAAACTTAGGATCACCCGTGTGTAATGGTCATATTAAGCAAACTTCAAGTGATATTAAACTTTTGTTAATCATATATCGCTCAACAAAAGCAATATAATCTGGAAAAAACATGATTTACGAAAATAATTAGAAGTAGACTAAATTGTACAAATGTCTCTCTGGTTTGCTCAAAATTGCTACTTTTGTCCAAAAAGGTTTTGACTAGCATCACAGGTCTAAAGTTTTTATTTTGTTGCGACTTTGGTCCAGTTTGATTTAAAAATATTTAAAATGACAGATTTACCCTTGGTATTTTCTTTTTCTATTTTTTTATTTAAATGTTTTTTTATTTAAATGCCTACACGTAACCCTAGTAAAAGAATCAAACGCTAGCGTAGATTCTGGATTTAGGGGAAACGCAAAGTTAACTTTCGAAAAGTTATATAAAACACCCTTATCTTTGAATTTATTAATAAAAAAGACCCAACGGTTAAAAATTGCTACATTTCTAATAAAATAATATTCAACTAAATTTAACTCTCAAAACGTAATTATTTTAAATAAAATATAATATTTTTTGTTTAATTTTCTAGTGACCACAATATTTGGTCATTAATGTTACAACGCAGTGACCATTAATTTTGGTCATTAAGTTTGTAAACGAGTGACCATTATTTTTAGTCACTAATATTTGTTATGATATTAAAAAAAAATATTTTAATTCAATTTTATAATTTAGTGACCGGCGAGTGACGACTATAATAGTACTCGTCACTAAATTTGTAGCATTACCCAAAATTCATTGACGACTTAATATATGGTCGCTGAACTGTGCATTTAGTGACCAGATTTTACGTCGTAACTAAAAAAATGGTCACTAATAAGCAGTTTTCTTGTAGTGAAATGGATCTCGGGAAATATGCTAAAAAGATAACACATGAAGGGATTTCCGATTGAAGATCAAACGCATATCAAACTAGTGTAAGATCAAAACTTAGGATCACCCGTGTGTAATGGTCATATTAAGCAAACTTCAAGTGATATTAAACTTTTGTTAATCATATATCGCTCAACAAAAGCAATATAATTTGGAAAAAACATGATTTACGAAAATAATTAGAAGTAGACTAAATTGTACAAATGTCTCTCTGGTTTGCTCAAAATTGCTACTTTTGTCCAAAAAGGTTTTGACTAGCATCACAGGTCTAAAGTTTTTATTTTGTTGCGACTTTGGTCCAGTTTGATTTAAAAATATTTAAAATGACAGATTTACCCTTGGTATTTTCTTTTTCTATTTTTTTATTTAAATGTTTTTCTGATTAAAAGAAAAATTAAAAAGAAACTTTCTCTCTCTCTCTTTCTCTCTCTCAAAGAAAAAAAAAAAAAAAAAACACCTACTCCATCATCTTCTTCCCATCCTTCACCTGCAGTAACTCAAACCATGAACACATTTTATTTTATTTTTTTTGAATTGGGCCAGATATTTTTTTTATTACACCATCATCGAAATGAGTACAAGCTTCAAAATCTCAATGCATCTTCTTCAAAGAAACAACATTGAACCATCAGTTTCTCTAATCATTCGATAATCATATTATCGCCTTCATTCAGTTTTGATCCTTCATCTTCGTTCATCACCAAAATCATTTCGAAAATCAGATTAAAAAACATTAATTACCATTAAAAATCAGGTCTAGTCTTTCATAATTAACACCGATGCTCAATTAAAACTTATCTTGATCAAAAACAAAATTCATTCAACACATTGATTCAATCAAAAGATCATTTAACAGAATATCATCCAAACACGAAACCAACTGAAATCTAGAAAATTACCTAAGAACACTTCAATGGAAAATACCCTAAAAATTGGAATTATCAAAAGATAATAATGCATAAATTTTATTTGGATTCTTGAATCGATCTAGATGGACAAAAACCCATAAAGCAATATGAATAAACCCAGGAAATCGATCTACATAATGCAGATTCAGAAAAACCGAACCAAAATATAGAAATCGATCCAGATGTAGAAATTAATGATGAAATCGATCTGACTCGATCTGTCATCGAACGACGACCGAAGTCATCACCCCCTTTCTCAGTTCGTCTTCTCCGGTATGATCAACATACATCGTGTTCTTCAAAACAACATTTTTGTAACGCCCCGTTTATTTACTAAATAAATAAACAAATTAATGAATGAATAGTAGCCCTAAAATAAATAATTATATAGCAATGTGTTGGTCTCGAGGAGTTAATTGCTACTATATTATAAGTTGGGGGTTAAAAGTGTGAAATCTGGATTTAGGTTGTAAATATTTATGAAGACAGGGGCTCCATGGTAATTATTGGAACTTAAGTTGAAAAGAATGAGAGGAGGAGGGACTAAAAATGTTAACATGGCTGAAGTGTGATCATTGGACTTAAATTGGAAAGAATTTTGATTGCTGAGGGCTAAAGAGTAAATTTCGGATCAAATTTGAAAAGGATTTGTTGAGGAGGGGCTGTTAGGTAACTGTTGGACTTAATTTGTAAAGGATTTCAGGAGGCAGGGTTTAAAGGGTAAATATGGGGCTTATTTCGAAAATATTTCCGAAGGGAGGGACTATATATGTCGTTATGGGATGAAGTTTTTAACTCCGGGTATATAACCCCAGCGTCACCGAGCATCAACCCTAACCCTAATTATTTGAGCAGCCGCCACCTTTCCTTCCCTCTATGGTCGGCCGCCACCCTCTTGTTTCTCCTACCACCGAGCCGCCGTTGTGCCACCCACATTGAAGACGGAGACCTCCATATGACGTCGTGGCAGCGAGAGATCGAAATAAACTCACCCTGGGGCATCGTTGTCGCTATTTACAGTGGAACCGCCACCCTCTTCGCGCTCTTCTGTATCGCCATCTCCCCACTACTGCTCGACCCACCGGTGATTCCGTCTCCGCGCGAAGACATGGACGAAGTAGAGATCGTCGGAGAAACCAACGTTGTAGCCGTTGTTGTCATCGTGGCTTGTGGTGGCTGCCTCCACTTTGATTTTCTGCCACCTTCGACCACCGTGTGTGGGTGGCTGTGGGCATATATTGGTGGGTGTGTGTTTATTCTCCGATGGAGTGTAGTATGAAGTGAGTGTGTGTGGGTTTTGTGTGGCTGGAAAACCTAGGAGGCCACCACCACCACCGTGAGGTGGTGGCTGCCACCGTGTACCACCACCGGCCACCACAAGGGTGGCTGTGTGTATGTTTATATTAGTGTGTGTGTGTGTTATTGAGTTGTAAATTGTAAATGGTGCCCGAAAT